CTTAAAAGAAGAAAAAGCCAAAGTTGTTGCTATATATATATATTTTCCAACAATCTACTACTCTAGGACTATGCACAAAATATTGTTTTGTGCTAAGATGACTGTTGTATGCTGGTGTTGCAAGAATATGTGTCTTGAAAAAAGATGTTTCTCTTTCTTTGAATAAATTGCTTAAAAAGAAAATTTTTAAGGATCTGAGGGATTTGCGAAAAGAGTTTTTTTTTTTTTTTACATTGATAATATTATTATATATATATATATTTTAACCTGCAATTATGCTACAATAGCATATCTTTATTGAAATATTGAAAGATACTACAATTTTTACAGATTTTCACAGAGTGACTAACTTATTATTATATATTATTTTTAAAGGACTATACTACTTAAAAAATATAAAGATTCACTAAACTAGTTTGAATTAAACAAAACTAAGTCTAAACTAGGTACTCTAAGTCAGATTTGGGGAACAATATTATGCCCTCCTAGTAGTTTGGCATTAACCTCTAAGTCAATCAGGATCATTGTCAACAGTTTGTTACTATTGATTATTCTGAAAAATTATAAATTGCTAAAGTTGGTACTAGGAAAAAAAGGGAAAAAGAAATAGAATTCAAAGTTTTCCAAAAGATTCTTGCTTCATTTCATGGTTTTTTTTTAAAAGAAGTTTGCCTGATTGGGATATTCTCTAAACTTTATAACATTTGAGGAACTTAATCATTCCTGAAAATGACTTTAAGAAGAATGTTTGAAGAACTTATTTTTCTGCCAATGTACAGATTCGCTTATTGCTATTGGAGCCAGTGCTATATTATGAAGAGTTTATTTAACCAAGATAAAGAAATCTTTTCAAAAACTTTGCCTGACTGAAATAAAAACTTGGAGTTCTTAGCTTTTGTTCAAGAAACCTTTTTATCACCTGAGGAACTTAATAAGAGATGGGAGTTGAATCTTCTTTTTCTACTTGTCACTTATTCTTCAGTATTATAATTGTTTTCTAAAGATTAAATATATATAATTGAAGGGAACATTTTTTTTAGAACTTTCTTTCCTATATTACTAATGATATATAGAGATACGTAAGTATGACCAATAGGAACTTATTTACATTCCAAAAACTAATGTATTTTATGTTGGCTAATCACCTTTGGTGAGAATTTGTACTACTCAAAATTCAAGTTCAAACTGAAGTAGACAAAATTCCTCAGAAAACTATAAAAATGTGAGCTTTAAGAAGGTCAAAACAATCAAAAAGGGAGAAAATAAACATTTTTATTACAAAAAATCTCTATAAGCCTCTCACTTCAAAGGTTAGAAAAATCTTCAAATACTTAACAATCAGTTTTTCTTTCTTTAAAAACTTTTTTTGTCATTAGTATAAAAGGTGTTATTTGACTTTCTTGGTTACTAGAAGTCAAGTTTTTGAGTGAAAAGATTTGTAAACAATAGAGGAAGGGTAGAAATGACTCTTAAAGTCATACTTCAGGTTGTTTTAAGAAAAATATTAAGACTTTATTAGTAAGAAAGTATAAAAATTTCTTGTAAACATCTTTTTTATATATAGTTAGAGAATCAGTGAAAAAAAATTTTTTTGATAATATTATTATATATACAGTATATAATATATATCTTTTAAAAACTTATAAAAAGATATTTTTGATGAAATAATAAGCAAAAGTAATGGATACTCGTAAAAATAAAAATTGAAAAATTAGCTTTATATAAAATTTTCAAAAATATTTAATTTGTAAAAACTATAAAAAAAAATAGTAAATTATTTATTGAATTATTTGATTGCTAAAGAAAAAAATAAAAGGGATATGAAATAAAAGAAAATATAAAAAAATTAATTAAAAATACAAAAAACTTAAAAATATAAAAAAAATATAAAAAAAAATTCAAATTATATTAAATTATAAATAAAAAAAATGAAAATAAAAAAAAACAAACAAATAAATTAATAAATTAATTTTTTAAAACAAATTAATAACTCTTTAATTAAAAACTAAATTGTAAAAAATATGAATCTTAAATATCAAGAAAAAAATATTAAATTAAGAATTAATAAATAAATTATTGATTCATAAATGAAATTAAATATACTATATAAAGAAATAATCAGAGTCCAAATATTTAATATACTTTAAAAATAAAATTAAAAAAGATCTTTTAATTAAACTAGATTTTAATATTAATCAAATTCAAGAAAAGGAATATAAATAAATAAAGAAATAATTAAAATTATTTAAAATTGTATAAAAGCAATTAATAAAAAGTTGTTTTAATATCTATTAAAATTTAGACAAAAATTTTAATTTTTAATAAAATTATTATAAAAAAATTTTTAAAATTTATAATTATATAATTTCTTATTTTAGGCAACTAATTCAAGAAAATTATAACAAGAAAAATAATTCTTAAGATTTTATCTAAAAATAATATGAAAACTTTATTAATCAAGAAATCTTGTAAATATACACTATCGTTCTCGTGTAACATTTGTCATGCTGTGTGTATCATGTGCACACATTTATGATAATCTATTCATTTCTTTCGATATGAACAGAGGTCGTGGAGGGCAACCGTTTCGGGGTCGTGGCCAGCGTGGTGGAAGAGGATACGAAAGAGGTAACCGCCTTTGAACCGGACATATTTCTTTGTTAATTTTACGAGACTAACTGTAAAATCTATTTTTGCAGGTCGGGGCCAGTTTCAAGCAACCACACCAGCCGAAATAATAGGTAAGAAGAAGTCGGTCATTTTTAGAAATTTACATTAACGAAACGATTAAATTTTTATTAGAAATGGGCACATTTTTACATGCATGTGAAGGTGACATGGTGTGCCTTTCCACTAACAAGAAGATTCCGTATTTCAATGCTCCGATTTATCTGCCGAATAAAGAGCAAATCGGTAAAGTAGATGAAATTCTCGGTCCCATGAATGAGGTTTATTTTACTGTAAAGTTACAGGAAGGGATCGTAGCTACTTCATTTAAAGAAAACGATAAAGTCTTTATTGGTGGAGATAAGCTACTGCCTCTCGAAAGGTTCTTACCGAGACCTCCAGTTGTTAAAACTAAAGGTATTTGAATTAATTAGTCTTGATGCTGTTTAACGTCAAGAGACGATATCAACTTAATACAAGTATTAATTTATATAAGCGCCCAAGAAGAAAATGCCGGGTCGTAAGTATAATTGAGTACAATGCCTTAGTATTTCCATTGACTTGTTGTTAATTATTCTAAATTAAAATAGAAAGAACTTCTTCATTTCGATCTGGGGGTCGCGGGTCTGGTCGGGGATTCCGAGGTGGCGGTGGAAACCGTGGTCGTGGTCGCGGTCGTGGTGGCGGTGGTGGCTTCCGTCGTGGATAGATAAAATTATGATTAGTATTGGTGTATACGATCGAATCTATTTTTCGTGATTTTAAACTACCTCAATGTTAATTCATCATAACGGTAGACATAAAAAAAACATTAGAATTTAAACGAATTATCATTCATTTTGAAATCAAGTATGAATATTAAAAAAGAATCAATTATAATATTGCATGAATTTATTGATTGATTTTCTTGAAACCATTAGCTAAAATTTCTAGTAATAAAATTTTATTAGATAATGCGTTACTAATGCAAATTTCTTATATCAATTAAACTTACTATAAATATGATTTCTTATTTAGGTATTATAATTAATGCCATTTTTTAAAAATAAAAAATACCTACGAGACGTTAAAAGTTTTTAATATAACGAAGAAAATAAAAAAAAAGACCAGGTGTCTTAATCCAGCGAAGGTTCCAATTCCCTTAATGGATGATCCGAAGAAGGGAATTGAACCCGGGTGAATTCTGTCGTCTCTCGGTACCCCCGCCAGGCGGCCTGATCCATCGGGACACGGTATTAGATGTGATCTTAATTGATATTTATAACTGAAAAAAAAAATATTGATTTTCAAATGATAATTAAATTAATTAAAAAAGATTTTAATTTATTTCTTTATTAATTTTTTATTTAGCAAAACTATTGATTTATTTACAATCAACTTGGAAATTAATATACCTTGTTTTTCAACTTTGTTCAATATCAGATTTTTCAAATTTATTACAAAAATATAAATGCTTTAAAAATCAAATTTTCAATTTATTATTGATTAATAATAACTTGCCTACAGAATTTTAGTAAAAGAATGTGTAGTATAAGATAAATCTAACAAGAATTATATTTTTAATTATAAATAATTATTTATTTAATAAAAAAGATTTGCATACTGTATAATGCGCAGGAGTCAAAGCGGTTCCTGTCCCGAAGGACGACGTCTTGTTTAAGTTCTTCTGTTCTTAATAGTTGGCGGTATTCGGTGTAGAAACATAATGGATTACATTCTTTTGTTAGGCCCACCTTTTTTTTCTCGCACAAGAATGACCAAATTTTAGGCGCTTCTATCGAATGGCAAAGTTTCACGGCTCAAAGAAGCCAGTCTTCACGAGAAAATCAATTATGTTCGTGGAAAACACACAAGCATATGCATGAAAAAACGGCATTGCAGATCCTTCCCTGGTACGTACTGCGATTTACATGATGCCGTACCGTTGAGAGGATGATTTAGGTAACTTGAGTTTATTCTGATGTTGCATTCAACTATACAAAATTATGTTCTTTTAGAATGTGTGAACAGGAATTCTTCGAAAAGAAGTTTCTTTAAATTTCCATAATAGCACGCGCAATTCTGATCTTCCTTATGATGCCGTCTCATGAGCCCGGCCGGTACAAAAACAAAAAGTTCATGAGATGCAAGTTAGTATGACCATGACTGATTACTGGTCACACCCCATTTCGTAACGCGTCGTGTACACCCTAATGATAGAGAGAATTTCGATTCTCGAATATTATTAGGAATCTGGGAAGTGTTGCCTATAAAAATAAAATAGTGCATACGCATTTCACATCAAAAATCACTTTCAAACTAAATGGAGCGTCAATTTTTTTAAATAAATACTATCATCTGTTTACCGCGTTTTTATCCACTATTATAATTTCTCCGGGAGTTAGAGTCACGACATCCACAACGAACATGGCCAATATGAGATTTTTAGACAAGGACGCATCATAATCAAATATTTGTCGAGAAGAAATTCCACAATATCCAAATGAAATTTCGGAACTGCTCGCAAACCACATCCCTATTTTAATGTAGTATTGAGGAATGTACTTTACCGATCGTTTGCTTATTTTATTTGCAAATCGGGTTATTAAAAATTACTTACGCCCGTTGAATCGCGAATTCTTTCTCTGGTTTCCGGATTGCGCGATCCCACATAGTCCGCATCCAGACATACAGAACGTTACATTTCCCTCAATAAATTTTTGAGGATTGCATGACCTTTTCGTACCATGAAACATTCGATAAGTATTATTCTGCATTGGAACCATACATTGTAATGCTATTTCCTTCTTGTAATTCTCGTGGGCTGTCACCAATTTATTTGGCATCTGAAGACGAATAATTGAATGGATCTTGGCTAGCGGAAGTCCATTGGAAAACAGTCGCCTAACATCTATATAGTCTTGGTCATGCTCAGAAAGAACCACCATTTGGGTTTTTGTGGTACGCTTTTTCCTTGAGCAAGGAGACTTTGAGGTGAGATCTCGATAAATATTCATTCCTGAAGCGTCTCCTCCCACACTAGGATCAATGTTACAGTCGCCTTGCTGCCGATTATCAGGTGCTTGTGATAACACGGAGAGACAATATACGCATATTTTGTGTCGCGAATCATTCAAAAAAGTGCAAGAAGGACATTTCGCCATTATGATGAGATCGGGTATTTCATAATCTGGTTTCCCCGATGAAGAAGAGAGTTCCGACCAAGACGATATGGATTTTAGTGATGTGCAGCATACTTTACATTGATTATTTCTGGGATCATTAAATGAATAACATGAGGGACACTGTATCTCCACGCCTTCATACAAATATTCTTCGTCATGATTGAGATCGTGGTTTTGCAAGTTTGCATCACACACCTCGCATCTAACGTGAAACGAGCTATTCATGAATCCACACGATGAACATAAGATGGTGGTAGATGATAAGTCACTAATTGACCAATTATCTTTCGACGGAGTTTGCTGTGACGCCAAGCTTGACAATGTCCAATGTGGTGACCAAGTTGATTGTGGTGGTTGTGGTGGTGATGCGCATTCCAATGGTACCCAACCTGATGGCGCGCAATTTGACTGTGGATAATTTATTATCGACTGACCTCCATTCTGCCTCAACATTGCACCACATAGATCACAATTATTCTTACTTGGACTTGTAAAATAAAAACAAACCTGACAAGAAATTTGGATGTCGTCATCATTAACATGATGATCCCAAGGTTTCGCATCATTTGGCTGAAAGACGGTCATCGGACGTGGAAATATGTTTCCGTCATGAACTTTGGGCGATAAATAATTTGCTGGCTGAACGTGACCACCATGAGACGGTCCATTGTCGTTTCTCGTCGGTCGTGTAACACTCCATGAAATTTGTTCCGGCTGCTGCGGATAATGGTTCTTGATGGGTCTACTGCCGTCACTTGGAAAACAACCCGTGTTATTAAAAGTGGGGAACGGTTGAGACCAATCGTTCGCCTGACAGATCATACTACAGTACACGTTATCACCATTGATCAGCTCATTTTGACAGTTGGAATTCTTACAAATCGCCACGAATTGTGAAGTGTTCGAATAGGAGAATTGAGATTTTAAAGATTGAGCCTCTCTTAGAAATGGCCTGGTGCCTCCTTCTAAATTATTCTGCCGTATGGTTCCATTAACATTTCCCCTTTTCATGCTTAACTTTGAGGGAATTGTGAATTAAAAATTTGAAGCAAGCAATAAACTTAACAAGGTCGATTCCTATGATATCCATTTTATACTCCTTTTTTTACATTACTGTGGCTGTTATTTGTATGACAGAATCTTGATTAGCTAAGATCCCTTTCCATCATAAACGGATGATCGCTACTAGTCGAAGATTCCTTATACATGAAGCATAGAAGAGGACGCGATTGATTACAGTTAGGGTTGTTTCAGGTACCATTATTTTTCGTATTTCGATGACTATTCCGAGATTGCAATTGTTTCCCTGAAGGGTTAAAGTTAAAGGCTACGTTTTAAAGAATTTATTCTCAATAATTCGGCACTAAGGAATTCATAATTCTTTTTTTTTTTTTTTTATAGAAAGAATTGCGGAACAAACAGTTATTTCTCCGCTCGACACGCTTGTGTTCTCTTCATGTTAAATGTCACCATCGGAAATTCTCAAATTTCCATTTGTAGGTTTGATGTATGCACCAATTAACTTCAAAACGAACTAATTCGGTCAACGGGCAGCACATGTGATTTTGAGCACCTAAGCTGATCATAGCACGAGACCTGAAAAGTCACAACAAAAACAATTGTAATATTTATTATATAGTATTTATTTAAAGTTTTATTTATTAATTTAAAATTTCTTCATTCAAGAAACATGAAATATGCTGCAATTAAATCTTTTTATTTCAATATTTCTTGAATATAATATTTTGGTTTATAATAAATTTTAAATAAAATCTTTTTAATTCAAAATATTATAATTAATAAATTGATATTATTATACTATATATTTTATTAAATCATTGAACAATAAAATTAAAAAAAAAGTTAAATTAAACAAAAGAAAAGGAAATATTTAAAAATATGCTTTGTATACTACAAAAAAAATTAAAATATAATTTTTTAAAAAAAAATATTATTTGATTATCATTTAAAGATTTGTTTTTAAGAATTTTTTTAATAAAAGTTTATATTATTAAATTATCTTTTTTTGAAGCAATAAGTCTTCTAAAATGGTTTACAAAAAGAAAATCAAGATCAAGAATAAATAAGTTGCTCAAATGATTAGAAGAAGAAAGAATATTTCAATAAGGTATTTCTTATTAAAAAAAAGTCTTAAGAAAAAGATCTTTAAAGAAAGCTAAAGAATTTTATTTATTTTCTTATTTTTATTTTCTTTTTTTATTTTTATTTTCTTATAGTTCATTTGAACATTTTTAGATATTCTCTTTTCTCTTTTATCAATATATTCTTTTATGATTTCCTGTATTTCAGTAATTTAATAAGACATTTGATAATAACAAACTACTAATAATAAAGTGCCAAACTAAAAAAGTTTTTATTTAAAGTCTGCTATAGAGCAAAATATTGTTTTCAAGATCAAACTTAGAAACTTTTATGCTTATAACAGGTTAGTTAGATTAAAATTAATAATTTAATAATAGTATATATCATACTATTCAAATAAAAATATATTTATATTTTTAATTAATTAATAAACTAATAATCTAGTTTGACTACAGATACTCAAAAAAATTTTAATAATAATAATTAATAATATACTATATATAGTTTAAACTATTTAATAATATCTATCAATAAATTATATTTGATCTAAACTATTTAAACTTTATTTCATAAACTTATAATATTTTCTTATTTACTATTATTTCTTATTGATCATATATATAATTATATTTAAAATATTATTTATAATATATATATTATATAAAAAAAAAAACTCTTTCCGCAAATCACTCAGATCCTAAAATTTCCTTTTTAAGTAATACACCCAAGATAAAAAACAACATATACAACTCAAAACATATACTCTCACAATACTAACATACAAGAGATATCTTAGTACAGAACAATACTTCATACATAGTTTTAGTCTGGTGATCACTGAGAAAACACAACATATATTAACAATCTTGACCTTTTTCACTTTCCTGAGAAGAAGGAAATAAGCCAACATAAACTGATTCACAGTCAGAAAAGGGAAGCTAATATCAACTTCACAGAGCTTGCAGCCAGGCCAGTGTAGGTTGACACCTTTCTTGATATTACAAGGAATCTCAAAGCAAATAAGTTTACTCGATAAATCAAGCAAATCTCAAATCCCTTAAGACCCAGAAAAATATCAAAGCTCCTCAAGGTCTAAACAGCCTAACGTACATATCCCATTGCTACACATATCAAAACATCTTACCAAAGTAGTGCAAATATGTACACATGTATAAAGCTATTGTCAAAATAAGTTTGGCAAAGATTTATTACAACAGTACAACAAGAGGAACTAAATTTGGTAAGATTAATAATCACTACTATCACAACAGAAAGTAATCAATGTAAACAGAGTGTCAGAGATCTGTAAACACAACAACAAGCTAGTATAAATAGGTAAACAACACTAGACAAACCAGAATATTCAACAAGTGTCTAATCAAAACAAGATCAAGACACATATCAAAATAGAAGAATAGCTAAAAACAATAAGCAATATACATAAAAGGTTTTTCCATCCCACGTGACAACATCAATACTACGTGACCCACTCCTATTATTATTTACCATATCATATGTACAATGAATAAAACTGAAAAGATTCTACAAATAGTAGATAAAAAAGAGAAGGATATTATTGACACACTAATCCGACTCATAAAAAAGCACGATAAACATAGTGAGCTATAAGCTACACAACAAATAGCTAAACAAAGACTGACTACCACTCAATATGAAGAGAGAATATCAGCTCCAGCTCCAAAAACTTGCACAATACTTGATAGCATTATTGCAAGTATCTTAGAAATAGACAAAACTATATTTCATAAGGAACAGGTTTTAACCCAATATATAACTTATTTATGGTAACTAGGAAAGGGCAAAAAAACAGACCTGTTTCAATTATATATTGAGAATAAATTCCTGGATATGATCGATGAAGAAGATCCGAGTAAAACAAAAACCCTGCCTATGGAAATTGTTGCCCCTATAGAAAATGAATCAATATTGAATAATGAAATTACAATGTCCAATGCTTATGAACAAGAGGAAATAGAGGAGAACATGGAACTTGAAGCCCTTAGAGAAAAGATTCAAGGCCAAAACATAAGTGAATGTAGCTTATATAGTATAAGAAATAGAACAAACCATACTATATAAGCAAGAAAGGAGCATATTGATTAGGGGCCATGACAGCAAACATTTCAGGAAGTTCAGAAAAAGAAATCAAGGTCTATCTATGTGATGTCCTAAAGTTATCCCAAGATAAGCAGAACCTCCTCCGAAAAACTTCACCAATGGAAATGAGTGGTTGGTTATCCATTTTAAAGAAGAAAAAAATCTTTTTAAATATTTAGAAGAGGTAAATAGAAAGGAGGAAACTTTTAGTCTCCAGCAACTAGAACCTGAAATAAGAGA